GAAAAGTTTAAAAGAAAATAATCCCTAGGTAAAAAGAAACATGGACTAAAGAGGTTGCCATTATAGGTTTTCGAATGCGATAAAAAAGTCATGATATTTTCAACTGTATTCGGGAAAATAAGATTTTATCTAATTTTTATTACTCTGTAGGAAGAAGTAAACTCTCAAGTCTCATTGATAGAAGTTTTATTATAGGAATATAGCAAGATGATCTATTGGGGTGTGATAAGCCATGGTTTACCGTCCATATCCTGGAAAAAAAAAAAGATTAAGTAACATTGGGAACTATTTTCAGCTCAAAAATCATATGTATGTGGACTACAATACTTTACCTCCAAATCCACCTCCGAACCCTCCGTGCCCGCCTCCGAATCCTCCGAAACCACCGCCGAAGCCTCTGTGTCCACCTGCGGAAATGTCAAATTTTATATGAATACTTCCGTTTATATGCAACTTCATGTGATCACCAGTCGCAATACCAAATACTCGGTTATTTCAAATTCAAGAAATTAATATTACCTCCAAATCCACCTCCGAATCCTCCGCCGCTGAATCCACCGAATTTTCCACCGCCAAATCCACCAAAGCGTCCACCGAATCCACCTCCGCCGAAGCGACCGGCGGCGGCGAAGGCGACCACGAGGGCCAGGACCATGACGGTGAAGAGTGCGCGAACCTAAATGAAAATCATGATATATTAAAGATGAATCGTACTCTTGGAAAAGGTCAACGACAGCTCGAATAAAAGAAAAAAAAAATGAGATTAAAAGTATCTTGTTAACCAACCATATTGAGTGTTGAGACGTTGAGAGGCAACTGCCAACACGCTGGAGAAGCGGAGGCTTTATACTCCCTCAGCCCATGAAAACCGAGAAGGCGGCGACCTTCCGCTGAGTCACTCCACGAATCCCTTATCCTAACGGAGGAAAATAAACAGTGCACAGAACAGTAAACGAAGAACAATTAGAGGAGTTTTTTTGTGGATAGACACTAGGAGAACTTTAATTAGTTTGTTTATTTGGAATGAAAATATCAATACTAATATCAACAATGGAATCATTTTTATTATAAACAGATCATCGCGTTCAAGTGTGTTTGGTGCGTGTATAGTTTATCATCTATTGTTCGTTACACGATACTGTAATGTACTAAGAAAAACAATGAATATACATATGAAAGGCTGCTTAATTTAGACAAAGATAAATATAAAATGTTACTGTGAAATGTTAAAAACACACACATATATACATATACACACATATGTATTTACATACATATATAAATATATATATACCTATATATACATACACAGACACACACGTAACACATACATATATGTAAATGTATACACATACGGATACGTACATAAATACATATATACAGATACATGTCTGTATCTTCAAGTAGTCTTATTTTTTTATATTTACAGCATATTAAGCCAATATATTTCGTAATCTATATTAAATCTGTGTTAAACTGACCAGGCATTACAATATTTGATTCGAAAATCAAACTACTCAAACCTACTGAATTCTAAAGTCTATCTTGCTTTTCATTAAAGCTGTGTGGTTAGTGCAGGTTGTCTATACTTTGTCTTCCAAAGTTTCATAACACTTGCGGAATAATGACACGCTCATACACATTCATATACGAACACATCCAGTCATCAAGCGCATTTTGTTTTCAATCTGCTATGTATTCTGCCGATTGGTCATATTGTAATAGCAATATGAGGTTATTGATACTGGAAGAAATAAATGAAAGAAATATGTATATATATGCGTGTACACACACACACATACGTATACATAATGTATATGCATGTATATATACGCATATATATAAGGTGGCATATATACATATGTATATATATTATTTATTTTGTATTATGCATGCGTGCATGTGTATATATATATATATATATATATATATATATATATATATAACCGGGTGTGTGCATTAGTATATGTATATATTTATATATGAATATATATGCATATCTATGTGCACCCATTATTAATATATATATGTATATATGCAGGTCTGTGTATATGTACATATATAAATGCACGTGTGTATATATAATTTTATATATACATATATATGTGTGTAAAAATATAATTGTGTATATTTAAGTGCAACATGATCAAAGAAAACCTTACTTTACTATTTATCATACTCGTACCTTGCGTTATGCTTTCCCCCGTTAGGGTAAAATTTTCATGCAGTGATTCGACGGATCCCAAGGTCGCCGCCTTCTCGGTTTTCCTGGGCTGAGGGAGTATAAAGCCTCCGCTCCTCCGGCAGTTGGCAGTTGCCTCTCAACGTCTCAACGCTCAACATGGTTTGTCTTGTGGAGATTGTACTTTTTTTCTTTCCCCTCTCTGTACCTCTTTGTGAAAAAAAAGAAATCATTGATGATTAGAATTATTTTTTTCCTCTTCAATATACACGATGAATCAAAAATGATTTTACAAGCAAGATCTCGAAATCATTTGGCTAAACATTTTCATTCTCTGTTTTGTAAATTTTTGGCCTAAAATATGAATCGACTTTAATATCATATGATTTTCACTCAGGTTCGCGCACTGTTCACCGTCATGGTCCTGGCCCTCGTGGTCGCCTTCGCCGCCGCCGGTGGATTCGGCGGAGGTGGATTTGGTGGACGCTTTGGTGGATTTGGCGGTGGAAAATTCGGTGGATTCAGTGGCGGAGGATTCGGTGGATTTGGAGGTAGTATGGGATATCTATTTGGGCCTAAAATGATTGTGATAGTAATTGTAATAAGTAAAATGCATTCTAATGGGCACATATTCTTTAATCGCAAGATTTTGTTCCCGTTAATGGAAATATACGAAGGGCATCTGATAGCGGAGCATTCTCACTAAAGCTGGCATTTCCACAGGTGGACACAGGGGCTTCGGCGGCGGTTTCGGAGGATTCAGAGGCGGACACGGAGGATTCGGAGGCGGATTTGGAGGATTCGGAGGCGGATTTGGAGGTAAGATAATGTACTTTATTAGGACCCGGAAATGTGTAGGAATGCAAGCCAGAGGAAATTTTCAACAGACCTTTTAGGTTGCATGAAATCTAAAGTAAAAGAGAAGAGCTTTATGAAGTTATTAGCTAACCACAACTTCTTGTTAAGAAATGGAACGCTATTGCTTGAATCTGTTTAACTGGACTGCAAGCTTGAAAGACGATTCCCTATTTTTCGTGTTATACTTTCCAACTTTGTCGAGGTGAATTATGCCTCTAGCTTGTATAAATCAATTAATGATTTATAATTGTCATTAATCCTATTTATCATTATTTTTCAGGCTATGGCAGGTAATCAAGGACCCGGGCTGCAATATTTTTTTCTTCTATATTTCGAAAATAAACTTGCCATAAAAAGTTTATCTTTTTGATCTCATTAAATAGTTATTATCCTTACAACAATACTAAACTTGAATTTCCTCTTAGAAAGAATAATATTGTTATCTTCAGTTGTTAACAATCATATGTTATCTATTAGATATATGTCCATATAATCATATACGATTTATGGGTATGATCCCTTGAGATTATCAACTGCAAACCATTTTAAAAATTCGATCGCGCGACAGTGCTGACGAAAAGAATAAAATTTGAGAGCAATGTCTTCCATGAATGAAAAATAATTCATACCATAAGCTATGCACATTATAGCCGAGGATATGAATTGGGAAAATATAATCAGCACACACACACACATATATATATGTATATATCATACATGCATGTATATGTATATATATGCATATATACACATATATATACATACACACAGACACACACACATAGATATATATGAATATATATATATATACTGTATATATACACATATACAAACATACACATGATATATATATATATGTATGTCATACACACACACACACAAATATATATATATATGCATACATACATATATATTCATATACATACACATTATATATAGTATATACATGTAGGCCTATATATGTATATATATATATATATATATGTATATATATATATATTCATATATATTCATACATATATACATATATACACACATATAATTATATACATATAGATAAATGTATATTGACATATATATATGTAAATACATATATATATCTATATATAGGTAAATACATATATTTATATATATATACACACACACATGGTATATATATGTACACACGCACACATATATATGTGTGTATGTATATAAATTCTTATATATACACACACACACACACACACGACTGATATCTATCTATCTATATATATATACACAGACACAGATATACATGTATATATATATAGATATATAACTCACCAGAATCCTGCTCCGGCTCTCCGTCAAAGCAGGCTTAAGTTTTGCCTGAATGCATCTGCAGCGAAATCTGTGACAAACGTCCAGCCTCTCAAGGCCTTCCCTGCTATCTGCACGCCGGCGACCACAGCTGGAGAGACCAAATGCAAGGGATTTCAACGAGCGAGAGAGCATGATCTAGGCAGCTTTGTTCACTGTTTTCCTCTTTTGCCAGAAATTCAGATTCCAAGCCATTCCGTCGTGTGGGAGTTAGCAGATATGGTAATTTTTGAAACGTTTTCATGGTGTGTTCCAAGGAGCTGCACATTTAAGTAAATGTGTTCTTCCATATTCCTCCCTGTTTTGTTTATGTGAGTGAAAGTTGTCGACACATGAAATTTGAACTTATTTGCTTATTTAATGCTTGTACATTTTTGGTAAAATGATTCTGTTCTAATTTTCATATTGTTTATATAACAGTAATTCGAAAGAGTATGAAAGAAAATTACTTTAATATAATAGTTTATAGAGTTCCCTTAGTGAAATACGTTACCGATACAACAATAGATAATTTACGAATGGACTAAAGTGACTGCCATTATAGGTTTGTTTACGAATGTGATAAAATAACGTCATGATATTTTGTTTATTTACGAAAGTGATAAAATAACGTCATGATATGACAAAAAGTAAACACGCAAGTGTAACTGATAGTAACTTTATTATCCAAATGTAAGAATACGATGTGTTGTGTGGGAGGCCATGGTTTACCGTCCATATCCTGGAAAATAAGAAAAAAGATTAAGCAACACTGGAAACTACTTTTAACTCAAAGAAGAATATATGCATGTGGACAATACTGTACCTCCAAATCCACCTCCGAACCCTCCGTGTCCGCCTCCGAATCCTCCGAAACCTCCACCGAAGCCTCTGTGTCCACCTGTGGAATCGTTAATTTTTATATGAATATTTTATATACAAGTTCATGTTATCACCAGTTGCAGTATGAAATACTCAGTCATTTGAAATAATAATAAAAAAGATTACCTCCAAATCCACCTCCGAATCCTCCGCTACTGAATCCACCGAATTTTCCACCGCCAAATCCACCAAAGCGTCCACCAAATCCACCTCCACCGAAGCGACCGGCAGCGGCGAAGGCGACCACGAGGGCCAGGACCATGACGGTGAAAAGTGCGCGAATCTGAGGAAAAAAATCAAAGGTGACTCATATTTTTTTTGCCAAAAACTAACAAAACTGAAGATGACAACGTTTAGTTAAACGATTTCGAGATCCTGCTCGTAAAATTATTCCTACTTCGGCGTTTATATTGTCTAATCGTCATTGTTTTTCCCCACAATGTGAGAGGGAAAGAGATAAGAGAAAGTACTATTTCAATAAGACAAACCATGTTGCTGTTGAGACGTTGAGGCAACTGCCAACACGCCGGAGGAGCGGAGGCTTTATACTCCCTCAGCCCAGGAAAACCGAGAAGGCGGCGACCTTGGGTACGCTGAGTCACTCCATAAATCCCTTATCCTAACGAAGGAAAATAAGCAGTGCGCATAACAGTAAACGAGGAATGATAAAAGAAATTTAAAAGGATTTTCTTCGTGCAGAAAGATTGATACTTTTCTATATCAGTTGTAGAGGCTTGACAAGTTTGCTTATTTGGAGTGAATATTAATACTGTTAATAAGAATGGGATCATAATTATTTTAGATATTTTTTCCTTATAAACAGAACATCAATTCGTGTACGTGTTTGTGTGTCTGGTGAATATGTAGATTATCATCTATTGTTCATTCCCAACTGTAATGTAGTAAGACAATGAATATGCATATGAACTGCATGTTTAGACAATGATGAATAAAAATGTTTAAACATATATGCACACACACTTACATGTACATATATACATACATACACACAGACACATATTTATATGTATACACATATCCATACACATATACAAACACATGTGTCTATCTTCTGGCAAACTTGTATATTATTTATATTTATATCATATTAACCTATAACATATATTTCGGATCTATATTAAATCTACAGCAAACTGACCAGGTACCGCAATACTGAAGACGGAAATCAAGCTATTCTAAGGTGTATTTTGCTCTCCATCAAAGCTATGTGGTTAGTGCAGGTAGCTGTTTTCCAAAGGCTCTTGTACGTGATGAATCCTTAAATTTCGTAATCCTTGCGGAATAATTTTATTTTTCAGTCATATCAATATGCTTCTATCTAATATGTTTTACATCCTTCATCTGTTATTCCGATTTTTTTCCCCTTTTTTTTGAGAAGTACATGTTTCATTACAATATCCCGCCAACTCATAAGAAACAATGAGTCAACAAGAACTTTTTGGTTCTTAGTCTGTATTTTGCTTTTTCATAATGTAATAGCAGCCAACTGAGCTACGGAGGTAATTCATACTCGAAGGAATAAATGAAATATATATATCTATACATAGACATATGTGGCTAAACATGTATCTCTATGTTTGTATATATGTATATATTAAGTATTTGTCGTATATATTTATATTATATGTACATATATTATGTATTATGTATGTGTGTGTGTATAAGTATATATATATTTATATGTATGTATTCAGGTGTGTAACTATATATATATACATATATATTTATATGTATGTATTCCGGTGTGTATGTAACTATATATACATATATATGTATATGTTATATGTGTGTAAATATATGAGCGTGTGTATTTATATACACATTCAACCCATGATTAGATAAAATATCATATTACTGTTTAGTAATCATACTTATAATTTGCTTTGTACTTATTTTCCCTCGTTAGGATATGAGATTCGTAGAGTGACTCGACGGAACCCAAGGTCGCCGCCTTCTCGGTTTTCCTGGGCTGAGGGAGTATAAAGCCTCCGCTCCTCCGGCGTGTTGGCAGTTGCCTCTCAACGTCTGAACGCTCAACATGGTTTGTCTTACAGAGCTAGTACTTTTTCTCATCTATGTGCCTCTCATATAATTTGTATAAAAAACATTGATGACTGATGACTGAACCTTTCATCTTCAATATACACGATGAATGAAGAATGATTTTACAAATAGGATGTAGAAATTACTCGGCTAAACAATTTCATTCTCAGTTTTGTTAATCGATGGCCAAATATGTGAATCAGCTTTGATATCTAATGATTTTCACTCAGGTCCGCGTACTGTTCACCGTCATGGTCCTGGCCCTCGTGGTCGCCTTCGCCGCCGCCGGTCACTTCGGCGGAGGTGGATTTGGCGGTGGAAAATTCGGTGGATTCAGTGGCGGAGGATTCGGTGGATTTGGAGGTATGTTTTTTTTATATATATATTTTTAATTTTTTTTTTACCTAAATCAAATGTCAATTGTAATAACTAAAGTGCATTCTAGTGGGCGCAAGGCTTTGTTCCCGTTAAACGAAAATATATGAAGAGCATCTAATGCTAAAGCATTCTCACAAAAGCTGGCATTGCCACAGGTGGACACAGAGGCTTCGGCGGGGGTTTCGGAGGATTCAGAGGCGGACACGGAGGATTCGGAGGCGGATTGGAGGATTCGGAGGAGGATTCGGAGGCGGATTTGGAGGTAAAATACTATACTACATAGGACCTGAAAATGTGTAGGAATGCAAGTCCGAGGAAATTTTCCCAGAGCCTTTAGGTTGCATAAAATCTAAAGTAAAAGACAAGATAGGAAGTGGATTGCTAACTACGCTATTGCCTGAAATTAATTAACTGGACTGCAAGCTCGAAAGACGATTCCCTATTTTTTCGTGTTATACTTTCCAACTTTGTCGGGCCCTTTGTCGGGTGTGAATTATGTCTCTAGCTTGTATAGATCAACTAATGTTTTACAGTTGACATTAATCTTAATCATTGTTTTTTCAGGATATGGCAGGTAATCAAGGACTAGTGCTACATTTTTTTGTTTTGATAATAAACTTACTATAAGAAGTTGATCTTTAAATAGTTATTATCCCCAGAACAGTTAAAAGACAAATTGAATTTCCTCGTCGGAGGAATATTGTTATCCTTAATTGTTAACAAAAATATGTATATATATATCTTTCATGGAATAATATATAGCTACTATACGTCGACCGCGCCGGTGAAAAGAAAAAAGTTTGATGGGAGCCATGTCGCACATGAATAAAACATGATTCATATCATAAGCTATGTGTGTTATGAATAGGGGAAATATGATTATCATACACATACACATTGTATATACATATGTATATATATGTATGTATATATATTCATATATAAATATTTATACATATATATACATATATATGTATGTATATATATTAATTTATATATATATATATTATACATGCACGTATACACACACACATACACATACACGCACGCATACACACATCCATATGTTTATATACATACACATATATATGCATACACAAGAAAAAAAAAATGTATATCTATATATATACATGCACATACAAATATATATGCTCACACACACACATACATATATGCGTGTTTGTATATGTACACACATACACACATGTATATGTATATATATATGTGTGTGTGTGTGAGTGTGCATAATATATATACACATCTAAACACACACACACGTATATATACATATACATATACAGTATATGCATATATATGGATATGTAAAACTGTATATATATTTATATACTGTGTAAATACATGCATTGTATAAATAATGTAATATATATATATATATACATATATATGTATATATATATATACATATATATATATATATATGTATGTATTATATAAACATGTAAATACACACACACACACATGTATATATATATATATATATACATTTATACATACATATTTATACATGCTCAGTATACACACACACACATATGTATATATATACATACATTTATACATACATATTTATACATGCACAGTATATATACACACACATACACATATAGATATATATGCGTCTGTGTGTATGTATACATAGACACATACATACACAGAGACACATGTATATGGATATGTATATATATACATATATATAAATATATATATATACATATACATATATATGTATATATCATATATACATCTATATATGCATACATATATATATATATATAGTATATATATACGTATTTATACACACAAACATATATCTATCTATGTATATGTATATATATAGTTTATATATATACATATATATATGAGTTATGATTATGATGGAAAATTACTTAAACATAATAGTTTATAGAGATTTATCTAATTTTTGGTACTTCATGTGATAAAAAGTAAACACGCAAGTGTCACTGATAGTAGCTTTATTATCAAAATTTAAGAATACGATGTGTTGGGTGAGAGGCCATGCTTTACCGTCCATATCCTGGAAAATAAAAAAGAAAGAAAGATTAAGCAACATTGGGAACTACCTTTAACTCAGAAAGGAATATATGTATGTGGACTACAATACTGTACCTCCAAATCCACCTCCGAACCCTCCGTGTCCGCCTCCGAATCCTCCGAAACCTCCACCGAAGCCTCTGTGTCCACCTGTGGAATCGTTAAATTTTATATGAATATTTCCTTTTGTATACAAGTTCCTGTTATCACCAATTACAGTACGAAATACTCAATTATTTGAAATTGAAAAAAAAGGAAAAAAAAATTACCTCCAAATCCACCTCCGAATCCTCCGCCACTGAATCCACCGAACTTTCCACCGCCAAATCCACCAAAGCGTCCACCGAATCCACCTCCGCCGAATCCACCGGCGGCGGCGAAGGCGACCACGAGGGCCAGGACCATGACGGTGAAAAGTGTGCGAATCTGAAGAAAAAAGTCAAAGATGACTCATATTTTTTCCTTAAAACCTAACAAATCCGTCATTGTTTTTTCCCACAAAGAGAGAGGGGAAGAGAAAAAAAGTACTATTTCCATAAGACAAACCATGTTGCTGTTGAGACGTTGAGGCAACTGCCAACACGCCGGAGGAGCGGAGGCTTTATACTCCCTCAGCCCAGGAAAACCGAGAAGGCGGCGACCTTGGGTATGCTGAGTCACTCCATAAATCCCTTATCCTAACGAGGGAAAATAAGCAGTGCGCATAGCGGTAAACGAAGAATGATAAGAGAAATTTAAAAGGATTTTCTACGTGTGGAAAGACTGATATTTTTATTTCACTTGGAGAGGCTTGACGGGTTAGTTTATTTGGACTTGTACGTGTTTGTGTGTTTAGTGAATGTGTAGATTTGCATTTATTGTTCATTCCACAATTCGCTCTACTGTAATGTAGTAAGACAATGAATTTACAGATGAAGTGCATGTTTAATTTAGACAACGATAAATAAAACTGTTACTATGAAACTGTTACTACACAGACACATATTTATATGTTTACACATACATATACATACACATATACACGTGTCTGTATCTTCTAGCAATCTTATATATGTTTCATATTTATATCATACTGACCTATATCATATATTTCGGAATCTATATTAGATCTGCATTTAACTGACCAGGCACCGCAATACCGAAGACGGAAGTCAAGCTATTCTAAGTTCTATCTTGCTTTACATTAAAGCTGTGTGATTAGTGCAGGTTGTCTATACTCTATCATTCAAAGGCGCTCGACTCGTGCGAACATATTTTATTTTTGTCATACTTATATGCTTCTATTTAATATGCTTTTACCTCATTCATCTGTTCTGATTTTTTTTTTTGAGACGCATATGTTGTTTCATTACAATTTCTTGTTTTACGTTTAACCCATTTCCCGCCAACTCTTAAAAACAATCAGAGTTAACAAGTACTTTTTAGTACTTAGTTTGTATTTTGCTTTTTCATATTGCAATAGCAGCCAAGTGAGCTACGGAGGTAATTGATACTCGAAGGAATAAATTAAATATATATCTATACATAGATATATGTATCTACACATATATTAATATCTATATGTTTGTATATATGTATATATGTATATATTAAGTATGTGTTATATACGCATATATATTATGTATGTAAGTATATATATCTATATGTATGTATTCAGGTGTGTATGTAACTATATATACATATATATGTGATATATATGTGTAAATGTATGATCAAGTGTATATATATTCTACTCATGATTGGATAAAATATCATATTACTGTTTAGTAATCATACTTACACTTTGCTTTGTGCTTATTTTCCCTCGTTAGGATATGAGATTCGTAGAGTGACTCGCCGGAACCCAAGGTCGCCGCCTTCTCGGTTTTCCTGGGCTGAGGGAGTATAAAGCCTCCGCTCCTCCGGCGTGTTGGCAGTTGCCTTTCAACGTCTCAACGCTCAACATGGTTTGTCTTACAGAGCTAGTTCTTTTTCTTTCTCATCTCTGTACCTCCCACTTAATTTGTGTAAAAACATTGATGACTATTTTTTTTTTCTCTTCAATATACACGATGACTCAAAAATGATTTTACAAGCAGGATCTAGAAATCACTGGGCCAAACATTTTCATGAATTTCATATGATTCAGCTTTGATATCCTATGATTTTCACTCAGGTTCGCGCACTGTTCACCGTCATGGTCCTGGCCCTCGTGGTCGCCTTCGCCGCCGCCGGTCACTTCGGCGGAGGTGGATTTGGCGGTGGAAAATTCGGTGGATTCAGTAGCGGAGGATTCGGTGGATTTGGAGGTATGTTTTTTTTTTTTTTTTTTTTTTTTTTTTACCTAAATCAAATGTCAATTTTAATAACTAAAGTGCATTCTAGTGGGCGCAAGGCTTTGTTCCCGTTACACGAAAGTATATGAAGAGCATCTAATGCTAAAGCATTCTCACAAAAGCTGGCATTTCCACAGGTGGACACAGAGGCTTCGGCGGGGGTTTCGGAGGATTCAGAGGCGGACACGGAGGATTCGGAGGCGGACACGGAGGATTCGGAGGCGGATTTGGAGGATTCGGAGGCGGATTTGGAGGATTCGGAGGCGGATTTGGAGGTAAAATACTATATTACATAGGACCCGAAAATGTGTAGGAATGCAAGTCCGAGGAAATTTTCCCAGAGCCTTTAGGTTGCATAAAATCTAAAGTAAAAGACAAGATAGGAAGTGGTTTGCCAACCAATCAATTGCCTGAAATTAATTAACTGGACTGCAAGCTCGAAAGACGATTCCCTATTTTTTCGTGTTAAACTTTCCAACTTTGTCGGGCCCTTTGTCGGGTGTGAATTATGCCTCTAGCTTGTATAGATCAACTAATGTTTTACAGTTGACATTAATCTTAATCATTGTTTTTTCAGGATATGGCAGGTAATCAAGGACTAGTGCTACATTTTTTTGTTTTGATAATAAACTTACTATAAGAAGTTGATCTTTAAATAGTTATTATCCCCAGAACAGTTAAAAGACAAATTGAATTTCCTCGTCGGAGGAATATTGTTATCCTTAATTGTTAACAAAAATATGTATATATATATCTTTCATGGAATAATATATAGCTACTATACGTCGACCGCGCCGGTGAGAAGAATAAAGTTTGATGGGAGCCATGTCTCACATGAATAAAACATGATTCATAACATAAGCTATGTGTGTTATGAATAGGGGAAATATGATTACCATACACATACACATTGTATATACATATGTATATATATGTATGTATATATATTCATATATAAATATTTATACATATATATACACATATATATGTATGTATATATATTAATATATATATATATATATATTATACATGCACGTATACACACACACACACACATACACGCACGCATACACACATCCATATGTTTATATACATACACATATATATGCATACACAAGAAAAAAAAAATGTATATCTATATATATACATGCACATACAAATATATATGCTCACACACACACATACATATATGCGTGTTTGTATATGTACACAAACACATGTATATGTATATATGTGTGTGTGTGTGTGTGTGTGTGTGTGTGTGTGTGTGTGAATGTGCATATTATATATACACATCTAAACACACACCCACGTATATATACATATACATATACAGTATATGCATATATATGCATATGTAAAACTGTATATATATTTATATACTGTGTAAATACATGCATTGTATAAATAATGTAATATATATATATATACATATATATGTATATATATATATATATATATATATATATATATATATATATATATATGTGTATTATATAAACATGTAAATACACACACACACACATGTATATATATATATATATATATATATATATATACATTTATACATACATATTTATACATGCTCAGTATACACACACACACATATGTATATATATACATACATTTATACATACATATTTATACATGCACAGTATATATACACACACATACACATATAGATATATATGCGTCTGTGTGTATGTATACATAGACACATACATACACAGAGACACATGTATATGGATATGTATATATATACATATATATAAATATATATATATACATATACATATATATGTATATATCATATATACATTTATAAATGCATACATATATATATAGTATATATATACGTATATACACACTCAAACATATATCTATTTATATATATGTTTATATATAGTTTATATATACATATATATTTATGAGTTATGATTATGAAGGAAAATTACTTAAATATAATAGTTTATAGAGCTTTATCTAATTTTTGGTACTTCATGTGATAAAAAGTAAATACGCAAGTGTCACTGATAGTAGCTTTATTATCAAAATTTAAGAATACGATGTGTTGCGTGAGAGGCCATGCTTTACCGTCCATATCCTGGAAAAGAAAAAAGAAAGATTAAGCAACATTGGGAACTACCTTTAACTCAGAAAGGAACATATGTATGTGGACTACAATACTGTACCTCCAAATCCACCTCCGAACCCTCCGTGTCCGCCTCCGAATCCTCCGAAACCTCCACCGAAGCCTCTGTGTCCACCTGTGGAATCGTTAAATTTTATATGAATATTTCCTTTTGTATACAAGTTCCTTTTATCACCAATTACAGTACGAAATACTCAATTATTTGAAATTGAAAAAAAAGGAAAAAAAAAATTACCTCCAAATCCACCTCCGAATCCTCCGCCACTGAATCCACCGAACTTTCCACCGCCAAATCCACCAAAGCGTCCACCAAATCCACCTCCGCCGAATCCACCGGCGGCGGCGAAGGCGACCACGAGGGCCAGGACCATGACGGTGAAAAGTGTGCGAATCTGAAGAAAAAAAATTAAAGGTGACTCATATTTTTTTCCCAAAACATAAAAAATCCGTCATTGTTTTTTTCCACAAAGAGAGAGGGGAAGAGAAAAAAAGTACTATTTCCATAAGACAAACCATGTTGCTGTTGAGACGTTGAGGCAACTGCCAACACGTTGGAGGAGCGGAGGCTTTATACTCCCTCAGCCCAGGAAAACGGAAAAGGCGGCGACCTTGGGTATGCTGAGTCACTCCATAAATCCCTTATCCTAACGAGGGAAAATAAGCAGTGCGCATAGCGGTAAACGAAGAATGATAAGAGAAATTTAAAAGGATTTTCTACGTGTGGAAAGACTGATATTTTTATTTCACTTGGAGAGGCTTGACGGGTTAGCTTATTTGGACTGAATATCAATTCTGTTCATGAGAATGGAATCATAGTTATTTTCGATATTTTTCATTTTAAACAGAATATCAATCCGTGTACGTGTTTGTGTGTTTAGTGAATGTGTAGATTTGCATTTATTGTTCATTCCACAATTCGCTCTACTGTAATGTAGTAAGACAATAAATATACAGATGAAGTGCATGTTTAATTTAGACAACGATAAATAAAACTGTTACTATGAAACTGTTACTACACAGACACATATTTATATGTTTACACATACATATACATACACATATACACGTGTCTGTATCTTCTAGCAATCTTATACATGTTTCATATTTATATCATACTGACCTATATCATATATTTCGGAATCTATATTAGATCTGCATCTAACTGACCAGGCACCGCAATACCGAAGACGGAAATCAAGCTATCCTAAGTTCTATCTTGCTTTACATTAAAGCTGTGTGGTTAGTGCAGGTTGTCTATACTTTATCATTCAAAGGTGCTCGACTCGTGCGAACATATTTTATTTTTCAGTCATACTTATATGCTTCTATTTAATATGCTTTTACCTCATTCATCTGTTCTGATTTTTTTTTTGAGACGCATATGTTGTTTCATTACAATTTCTTGTTTTACGTTTAACCCATTTCCCGCCAACTCTTAAAAACAATCAGAGTTAACAAGTACTTTTTAGTACTTAGTTTGTATTTTGCTTTTTCATATTTCAATAGCAGCCAAGTGAGCTACGGAGGTAATTGATACTCGAAGGAATAAATGAAATATATATCTATACATAGATATATGTATCTACACATATATTTATATCTATATGTTTGTATATATGTATATATGTATATATTAAGTATGTGTTATAATCGCATATATATTATGTATGTAAGTATATATATCTGTATGTATGTATTCAGGTGTGTATGTAACTATATATACATATATATGTGATATATATGTGTAAATGTATGATCAAGTGTATATATATTCTACTCATGATTGGATAAAATATCATATTACTGTTTAGTAATCATACTTACACTTTGCTTTGTGCTTATTTTCCCTCTTTAGGATATGAGATTCGTAGAGTGACTCGCCGGAACCCAAGGTCGCCGCCTTCTCGGTTTTCCTGGGCTGAGGGAGTATAAAGCCTCCGCTCCTCCGGCGTGTTGGCAGTTGCCTTTCAACGTCTGAACGCTCAACATGGTTTGTCTTACAGAGCTAGTTCTTTTTCTTTCTCATCTCTGTACCTCTCACTTAATTTGTGTAAAAACATTGATGACTATTTTTTTTTCTCTTCAATATAAACGATGACTCAAAAATGATTTTACAAGCAGGATCTAGAAATCACTGGGCTAAGCATTTTCATGAATTTCATGTGATTCAGCTTTGATATCCTATGATTTTCACTCAGGTTCGCGCACTGTTCACCGTCATGGTCCTGACCCTCATGGTCGCCTTCGCCGCCGCCGGTCACTTCGGCGGAGGTGGATTTGGTGGACACTCTGGTGGATTTGGCGGTGGAAAATCCGGTGGATTCAGTGGCGGAGGATTCGGTGGATTTGGAGGTATGTTTTTTTATTTTTTATTTTTATTTATTTATTTATTTTTTAACCCAAATCAAATGTCAATTGTAATAACTAAAGTGCATTCTAGTGGGCGCAAGGCTTTGTTCCCGTTAAACGAAAATATATGAAGAGCATCTAATGCTAAAGCAGTCTCACAAAAGCTGGCATTTCCACAGGTGGACACAGAGGCTTCGGCGGGGGTTTCGGAGGATTCAGAGGCGGACACGGAGGATTCGGAGGCGGATTTGGAGGATTCGGAGGCGGATTTGGAGGTAAAATACTATATTACATAGGACCCGAAAATGTGTAGGAATGCAAGTCCGAGGAAATTTTCCCAGAGCCTTTAGGTCGCATGAAATCTAAAGTAAAAGACAAGATAGGAAGTGGTTTGCCAACCAATCAATTGCCTGAAATTAATTAACTGGACTACAAGCTCGAAAGACGATTCCCTATTTTTTCGTATTATACTTTCCAACTTTGTCGGGCCCTTTGTCGGGTGTGAATTATGCCTCTAGCTTGTATAGATCAACTAATGTTTTACAGTTGACATTAATCTTAATCATTGTTTTTCAGGATATGGCAGGTAATCAAGGACTCGTGGTACATTTTTTAAATATTTCAATAATAAATTTGCTATAAGAAGTTGATCTTTTAATCACTAAATAGTTATTATCCCCACAACAGTTAAAAGACAACTTGAATTTCCTCGTAGGAAGAATATTGTTATCCTCAATTGTTAACAAAGAGTAGATCTATATGCCATAGAATAATGTATGGTTTATAGCTATCTTGTGATTGTTTTCAACTGTAAACCATTGTGAAAGTTTCGAACGGTGGGTATATATATATGTATGTACATACATATATGCGTGTATGTGTATGTGTAGACACACATGTATATGTATATATATATCTACATATATATAT